CAAGCCCAGGCCTGAAGGGTTAATGGAAGCAGCTCTGGGCCTCATAAGCCAGAGGGCTATATAAGGCATCCAGCGGGGGAAGGGAAGAGAAAAGAGCAATGGGAGGAGCCAGGAGGTGGCTGAGTATTGCCCCAGGCAGAAGGAGAGTCTCCTGAGTTTGCTGTAATCCAAAACTCTGTAAATAGACGGTGATGGGAACCTGACAATAAAAGGCACCAGAAAGGGTCTCTGGCTGATTCATGAACAAAGAAGGTGTCCCTGGGCAAGAGACCTGAGCGAGGACCTTGCCACACATGGTGTCAGAGGTGGGATTCAGCACTAACGAACGTGGTTGGCAGCCCAGGGATGGAGGATACCCTGCGGTGACTCGTCAAGCAGCAAGAACAAATGCAACAGGCCCTGCAAAGTTTCCAGCAGTCCCACCAGGCGGAGAGACAGGCCTTGCTAACCTGGCAGGCAGGGCAGCAGCAGCAAAGCCTGCAGGACTTTATTAAGGAGAAGAGAAAGGTACAGCAACAACTCCTTCAACAAGTGGTGAGTCCTGGGGGGATGGCACCTGACCACCAGGTCTGGGACTCTATAAAATGGGGCCAGCAGATGACCCAGATTCTTTTTTGGGGATGTTTGAGCAGATAGCCATGGGTGCTGCATGGGAGAGGGCTACCTGGGCCCTGCATCTGGCTCCCTACCTGGCAGGAGAGGCACAAGCGGCCTACGTGGCCTTGGGAGATGATCAAGCCTGCAACTATGAGGCAGTGAGAGTGGCCATTTTGGACCAGGTGGGTCTGTCCATGAAAAAATACCAGCAGAAGTTTCGGTCAGCTGGATGGACAGCAGCAGTGAGGCCTCGGGCGTTTGCCCAAAAGTTAATAGACTGATCAACCCGCTGGCTGAGACTGGGGGCACGGACAGTGCAAGAAATAATGGACTCACTCATATTCAAGCAGTTGCTGCAAGCCCTGTCAGAAAATATCCACGTGTGGGTCAGGTGCCACCAGCCTGACACAGTGGATGCAGCGGTCATGCTGGAGGAGCAATATACCAAGGTAGTGGTTCCCCAGAGAGGAGGCCGACCCTACTGGGACAAGGAATCAGAGAGGAAGCTGGAAGAGCCCCTTTCTGGGAAAGGCCCAGAGAGGAAGGAGGCACCCCAAGGAACACCTATGGGGGCTGGCACAATGTCTTGCTGGCAATGCAGAAGGGCTGGGCATAGGAAGCAGAAGTGCCCAGACAGTATGGACTGTGGGTACGCGGGGTTCTATGGGTTGACTCAGGCGGGAGGACCTGGTAAGAGGCAGAGTCTGCCCACTGTCCCGATACAGGTGGGGAGAAAGGCCCAGAGAGAGTTAACAGATTCCACATCAGCCCACTCACTAGTGCAGAAGGGGCTAGTGAGGCCACACTGGATGGTCCCTGGTGCACAGGTGATGCTAGAGGTCCTATCTAGTAGCCCAGGTGCCGCTGGAAGTGAGGGGCAGAATCCAGTGGAGGCAGGTAGGGGTAGCGGACCAGCTACCGTACCCTGTCTCTGGCTGTTTGTGGCAAAGAAGGTGTCCCAGGGCGAGGGGCCTGAGTGAGGACCTTGCCACAGGAGATAAAATAGCATGTTATTTTGTTGGGATCAGATTATCCAAATTGGTAAATATTTCACATGATATCAAGAATCTCCCTTCCTTTGTATCCTTAAATGTCTAGTATCATTTTTGGTTCTTTAGAAGGATAATTGGGGATCACTAAGAAAGGGATAGATAATAAGACAGAAAAATGTCATATTGCCTCTGTATACATCCATGGTATGCCCACATCTTGCATACTGATTAGGGGTGTGGAATGGCTTCCATATGAGGAGATTAGAAGTGTGAGAATGCACAACTGAATAGTCATGTAACTGCATCAAATTTTAGTGGTTACTCACAACTACTCAGAGTAGGGACCAGCAGAGCACTCCTGGTTCTACTCCTGGGGAAGCCCCCTGACACCCTATCAGAGGCAGCAGCATACGGTGACAGGCAAGAGAATCCACGAATGGAGCCAGTTTAAAAACCAGCTTCCCCCGCATACCGGCTCCCACCTGCTGCTCCGCGCTGCTGCCTCTGATACAGTGTGGGGTGGCAGCAGCCCCTGTCCATGGGGAGCTTGAACCCCCTCCATGCACAGGGACTGCTGCCATGGACCAGCCTCTGTCCATGGTGGGCCCAGACTTCCCGTGGATGGAGGCTGCTCCATGGGGTTCCAGAGCAGCCTCTGTCCACAGGGAGCTCAGCTCCCCCATGGACATGAGCTGCTGCCGCGGAGCATCCTCTCTCCACAGTGAGCCTGGGCCTGTTGGGCCCACCTGTCTGCCCCCTCCAACCCCATGCTGCTACCTCTAATAGAGGCAGAAGCAGAAGAGGGAGAGACACTGGCTCCTGGCTCTGTAGGAGACAGCCGGGGGGCAGGCAGGTCCGTGGAGCTGGCACATGTGGAGAGCCGTCTCCCCATGTGTATCAGGTTGTGTCTGCCCCCCTCCCCCTCTGCACTGCTGCTTCTCTATCAGGAATGCATTTAGTCGACAAGATTAACCGATAAGCCTGCGCTTTTTGGTTAATCACGTAGTTGTCTACATATTGACCTCTCTAGAGAAGACTTTACTAAAAAATAACTCCTGAAAAGACAGTTTGCAGATGATCATGCACACTAGCTTCTTTAATTAAGATAATAAAAATGGCCATATTGGGTCAGACTCAAGGTCCATACAGCTATAAGACTGATCTTGAAAAAGAGATGACTAAGGGGGGATATGAGAGAGGTCTATAAAATCATGATTGGTATGGAGAATGTAAGTAAGGAAGTGTTATTTTATTCCTTCCTATAACAAGAACTAGGGGTCACCAAATGAAATTAACAGTCATGAGGTTTAAAACAAAGAAAAGGAAATATGTCTTCACACAATGTATAGTCAAATGATGCTGTGAAGGCCAAGACTATAAAAGGGTTCAAAAAAGATCTAGATAAATTCATGGAGGAGATGTTCTTCAATGGCTATTAGCCAGGGGCATGTGTACACTAGAAAATTATTTTGAAATAATAATTCGCAAAATACTATTTTGTAATAAGCTTATTTGCTGAGGAAAGCAGGAGTACAGATTTTGAAACAACCAGCCTGTTTTGAAATAATGGGCTTGGTAGCATGGATACTCCGCTTAGTATTTTGAAATGAGAGAGAGTATTTCAAAATAACTCCCTAGTGTAGACCAGGATGGGTAGAAATGGTTTCCCTCACTTCTCTTTGACAGATGCTAAGACTGGGTGACTGGGGAAAGATCACTTGATGATGACCTGTTCTATTCATTCCCTCCAGGACAGCTGGCATTGGCTACTTATGGAGAACAGGACACTGGGCTAGATGGACCTTAGGTCCCACCCAGTATGGCCATTTTTAGGTTCTTAGTTATAGATGCTAGTGTACATGATAATCTGCAAACTGTCTCTAAGACCATTTTAAAAACAGCCATGGTCCCTTGATCTGTATTTGTCATCTGAAGAAATGGGCTGTGCTCATGGAAGGTCATGATACTATTTATATATTTTTGTTCATCTCTGAGGTGCTACAGGACCATTATTTTTTTTTAATTTATTTAGAGACTAACATGGCTACTCTGTCTTTTTAAGAGTTGTTTTTAAGTAGTAAAAGAGGAGAAAACATTGGAGAACACAAGCGCATAGTCAAATGAATTATTGTGAAATAGCACCAATTCTGGCCTCTCTTTTCTTTTTTTTTAAAATGACAATTGCTCATCTCTAATGTTATTAAAATTAGAGGTTTGGCAGTCAGCTAGATTCTAACTTGTCCTTTAATGCATGGGAAACAAATACCCTTTAGTTCTGAGATTTAAAGGTATTTTTATTCTAATATATTTTCTCCAATTAAGAAATGAGACATTCCATTTTGCAACCTTGCTTAACTATTTAACCCAATAAGAACAGCTAGTTTTGATAAGTAGCCTCTGAGGGAATCAATAATTCTTAGTTTATTATTTGCCTTGTTTAAAACAACTGAAAATCTTTGTGCCACTGCCCAAATGTCTCAGATTTCTTCTCCACATAGAACTATGTCTGTCTAATCTTTAGACTATCCAGTTGTTGATGCTCTTCTGAGATAACATGTGGAGTTTACACATCCTCACACAGGTTGCTCAATTAACATCCCCACAGGCACCAGTAATTCTGAGGATTACACTAAGGCACAAGGTTGTTCCTCCAACTTCTAAGATACCACAAGGGAAGCAATGAAGGTGTTACAAAAGGTCATTGCAAATAATAATTTCTCTAGTGATTTTTGTCAAAAACAAAATCTTGGCTAGATTACTAGTCACCACAACAGCACTGAAATGTGACATACTAATAACTGCGCTTGTCCAGCTCACATTCCTTATCTCATGGTACCTTTGGGAAATATTTAGCCCTACATCACCTCATTTTTATCAGATATTCATCCACACTATGCATTACTAAGTTTCTAACTAGGTAGTATCCATCAGATTGGTAGAAAAGATTTAAGCTGAAATGAGTGGTGCACTAGACAAGCTTATACTGCTATTAAGAAGTGTTAAGAGTGAATTCAGTCACCTATTTTTCTCAATCAAAGGGTACGTCTACACAGCAGGACTAAGTCCAAACTAAGCTATACAACTTGAGCTACGTCAACTGTGTAGCTTAAGTCGAAATAGCTTATTTCAGCTTTTGGCGCTATATACGCAGCAGTAAGTCTGAAAAAGAGCACTCTTCCTCCTACTTCCCTTTATCCTTGTAAAATAAGGGTTACAGGAGTCAGAGTAAGAAGTCCTCTGGCTGGACAGTGTGACGTTATGTTGAAATAACTGCTTGTGTGTAGACGCAGACTATGTTACTTTGGAATAACATGAGTTATTCCAAAATAAAGCTGCTGTATAGATGTACCCAAACACATTGTTTTGGGATATGTGCAGGCTACACTGATACAGCCTGAGTTTGAGACATACCTTACTTATATCTGGGGTCTCAGATTATGGGCCTCATTCTCCATTCAGCGCAGCCATTCCACCCTATTCTGACGAAGATATGGTTCAACAATAGCCATAGCAGCTATTTGAATAAAAAACTGCATTTTAAAAGACGACAACACTTGCTTTGCATGCATACTACCCCCCACTGTTGCCATGCATGCTGAATTCTTACTATAGATAGCCTTGGTACATGCATTTGAAAGCACATTTACCCTCCACTCAAGGTTGCAATAAGTCTTTGATATTTGTTTCACTTTATCAACAAAAACATATTCAGACAATTTTAAATCTGAGACTCTGTAAATCTTTAATCTGCTTGCTGGCCTGTAATGATGGACTTCTACACAAAAGAAAATATTTTAAAAAGTATATCCTAGTAGTTCCAGAAAGCCCCAGATCAGGGGGCCTCCCTGAGTCAGGCATTGTACAAACATACAATAAAAACAGTCCCTGCTCTAAAGAGCTTCTGTCTTAATAGAAAAAGACAGATAAGATAGGGAGGAGGAAGGATGCAGCATATCAACAGAGCAAACAGGATGATGGGTCACAAACATGTTCTTCCATTGGTTAGCTGTCCACTTATATGTTGTGAAAGATGGTGTGAGCAGGAGAAGAGGGTAGGCATGAAGTATTAGAAGCACGAAACAGGAGAAGAACTGGCAATATGGAAAGGAAGAAAAAGCAAGAGGAGAAGGTAGAGGGCAGAGAGAGTAAATTTACAGCAGAGACAGAGGTTGTGAGTGGGATGGAGTTGGAAAAGCGACCAATCAACAAGGAGAGCAAAGGTCTAGACTCAAAATGCAAGAAAATAAAAATTGTAAACTAAAATGTATAGTGTAACTTGAATACTGCTATGGACCGATCCTGTATGGGGACAAGAATGGGAGAACCCTTATAGCCATTGATTTGAATGGGACTTGTAAGAGCATAAGGGTTCACTCGCATTGGTCCCTTTGCAGAACTTAGGTTGTGACATCTTATGAGATCAGACACTTAGTATATGACTACAGGCCATAACAGAAGGAATCGGTATAGTCTGCTGAGTCCATAGGATGCAAATTAAAAATTAGTCAACTTTAGAAATCATCTAAGGGTCTTGCAAAACCAGCAGTCTGACAGTGGTGGTTTATGGTGAAAGATCAAACAAAATTATCAGCCTTGTGGTCATTTAATGTGGTTTCCTCCGATAAAATACTGGCTAAGGTCATCCTCGTGGTGTTCAGGTTTCACTACACATTTATATGATAGAATACAACAAGCAATAAGGAGAATTCAGAAGAAAATTAAACTAGTCTGTGACTCCTTAGTGCAAGTTCCAGCCTGGAAGTAGTAGTTATAGCCAAATTATACTAAACTCACCTGGAAGTACAGATTTCTGATTGAAATCCTGTCTGAATTTTAAATCTATGTTATGTACCACTGTAATGACAGTATATAAGGCTAAATGCTCCACTTAAATACATTGATTTAAAAGAGAGGAGAATTTGGATCTTCAGAATGCATTCTCACAGTAAGATTATTCTATGATCATGCACGTTACATCATGCTTACTGACTGGAAAGAGAACTCTTCTAAGGGCATATCTAAACTACATCTCTCTTTCAAAAGAGGGATGTAAATTAGGCAGATTGAAAGTGTAAATGAAGCGGGGATTTAAATATCCCATGCTTCATTAGCATAATCGCATCACAGCGTTCTTTAAAAAAAAAAACCTTTTTCGAAAGTTCCTATACTCCTCCAAAAAAGTGTTTTTTCCTCAAAAGAACGTCTAGACAGCGGTTTCACTTTTGAAATACTCTTTTTCGAAAGAACACTGTGATGCGATTATGCAAATGAAGCACGGGATACTTAAATCCCCGCTTCATTTTCACTTAAAAACTGCCTAGTTTACATCCCTCTTTTGAAAGAGGGACATAGTTTAGATATAGCCTAAGTCTAATTGGAAGCCAGCACATAATGGACTTTTAAAAGGGTGAGCATTTTAACAATAGATTTTTGTAGATTTCTACAGTGGATCTGGAACAAAGCAATTCCTATTACTAATAAACATCTTTCTGGAATACTATTGAGTTTTGACAATTGAAGTTATTTGGTTCCAATATCTGTGTGAAAGAAAAAGGTTTAGGAACTCTGACACAAATTCTCATGTACACTGATGTCAATCCCAAGTGTCTTTAATGGATTTATTGCAAATTACTCCACTGGAATTGAGGACAGAATTTGGCCCTATGCTCATTTCATTCTAATAGCCCATTACATTTCTACAGTCAATAAAAATCTAATTAAAATTTGAGGAACTGCCCACCAGGAGATTCAAAGCTTTTATTGTATTGTGACCTCAATCCTGATTTATTAATACAAATATAAAACTAATGAAGAAAGTCATCTTAGGCTAAATCCTACTCTAGAGTTCATGTCTATAGTTTGCACTGACTTTAGGGCTGTCCTACTCACTATATTGTATGATAAATGTAGTTCAGCAGTGAGACCCTTAGAATTCTGGCGTGGGTGGGGTTTTTTTTAATTTTAATAAATCAGTGGTGAACTACACATTTAGTATTCAGGAAGATGCTGGCTCAGGGGTACAGCAGTCATCACAGGGGTCATATGCCTTCTCCACTGCTAACTATTATTTCTTGATATTTATGTTTAATATACCATCTGAATTAACTTTTTATTTTTGAATGTGGAATATTTCTTAAAACTACCAACTTATATATTGATTCCACAATTGTACTTTATTTGGGGATTATGTCTGAAATTTGCCTTTGTTTAATACTGTTATATTTTAGACATCAAACAAAACGCTTCTCTTTTACAATTGATCATCTAAATACGTGGCGATCAGGCCCACTGACAGGGTGGGCAAAGGGGACAATTATCCTGGGCCTGGAGATTCAAAGTGGACCCTTTGAATTGCCACCAGAGCGCCACTCTGCATGGCTCTGAGGGCTGCAAGAGCCACGCACCACAATCTGGGCTATGCCAAGGACTGACTGATGGCGGCCCCGCCCCTTCCACCTGAAGTCCTGCCCCTTCTGGGAGTGCAAAGCCACCTACACCTTAGCCCGGGACCCACAGTAGCTATGAGCTGTGTTGGTGGTGGTACTTCAGTTTTTAATTTTCTTAATTTCCCTAATTGTTCCGGAAATCAAATTCACTCCTTTGGATTGGGCTTTCATCAACTTCCCCTTATGCCTTTAAGCAGATGTGAACTTTTCAGTTTAATTGCTTGCACACACATAAAAAGCTTTTTGCTCCAGTGGGGATTTCAGTGGACACTTTTCTAGCATTACACTCTTCCATCTTGCCGAAACATGAGAGAGAATTCTGCTGTACTATTGCAATGGGACACATAGAAATATGATGTTTTTGTCAAGGCATTTGGTGGTTTAATATGACTAAATTATTTCCGTCCATTGATGCAAACCAATTTTGTCACTGAGAGCCCTAAAATGATCCAAACGTTGTTCTTCCTTTGTGTTAGTTGGGGATGGTCTAGTAAGGATAAGAACTGTAGCCAAGAAGCTCATCTCACCATTCAGTCAAGGAAGTTTTTTCAATGCCTATTCAGCCCTAGCTATGTGGAGAGTATGACGTTATGTAGCTAAAAAGATATGTGCCTTGAAAAAACAGCAATACTGCCAATTTTCAAGCCCCAATTCTGAAGTGAGAGCAACACAGCTGGACACTTTCAACTGTGACCCCATTGTAGGATCAGAGCTTTGGGAGATGAAGCCAACAATTCTGCAGGTTTATGGGAGCTTTGTTTCTCATATCTGAAATAATCATAAATATGGGAGGTGCCAAGTAAGCACTAATCAAGGCTGCAAGAAGTTAAGATGGCCTCACCTAGAAACCTAATTTGTGTATTTTAGAAAATGTACTTGTATTTTGAGTTCCTCTCATTTTCCATCTGATACTTTTTCATCCCTTCTGTATGTGGAGTTGTTTTTATCAAATTATGAAAGTCTGAGTTGGTCAGTAATGTCTTTCTATATACTCGAAATATTTCCCTAATACACATATAATTCAAATGTATTACTTTGTCAGAATACTCTTAGAAAATCTCAGTCCTAGCTAGAGAACATACAGAATCTTTTTTGATTCGACTTTCCATAAAAGACATTCCTTCTGTTTTCAGGAAAGTTTCATTTTCTTGTCTTAAGTAAGTTGGGCTTCTTCAAATAACCCACTTCTCCATTTTTTTAAACTTTTACAATGTACATTTTGAAGATGTTCTCTGAGGTTGGTGTTAATCCCACAGATCCAAAAATCTCTGGTGTAAATTTAGGTGCTTTGTAAATTAGTCATTCCAGCAACATGAGCAATAACAGGAAGATTTTCTAGAATGAACTTAATTAACAATAAGTTCATTTGAACATTATTTAAAATGTTAAATTTTGTGACATAAATGGAGGTACAGCAGGTTTTCTGAGTGTAAAATATGTTTCATTTCAATCATCCCATTTTATAAGGAAAGTGCTAGAAGCCGCATCTCTGGCATACTTGAGTACTAGATTGGACAAAACCATGGAGACTGCCTGAAACAATCCTATACAGGGAGGGAAATAATCTAATTGTTACTTTCCATCTTGTGATAATGTTATAATTCAAAAAGCTCCTTTAGTGCCTGCAGCACATCAGGCTGTGATCTTCTCTGATCTCGTAAACAAAGACAGGTTAAACCTAGCTAGTAAATATATGGGAGACCACAGGAAACACATGCTACAGGAAGCAGGGTTGAAGATTCAATAGACTGAACTCTACCTTCTAAAAGGCAGTGCTGAATCAGTGCCCTAGTAAGATGAGTGCACAGTGTGGCTGCACAGAGATGTCATATTTTGGATGTGATATTCAATTATTGACCCCTTGTGTCATTAAAATTTTTTCACAATAGAGCATTCTCCTTGGTAACCTGGCCACTTGCAGCTGAGGAACTCAGATTCTGCTTACATAAAAATCTCCATTATTTCAGTTGTTAAAGTATTTTTCCCCTGTAGTAGTGCACAAGTGTCACTCTCTGCCGTTGTAAAGTTACAGACTTCCACACTGCAGGCAGCTGTATGTCAGTGTAGGTGAAATGATTCCTAAGCCATGTGGTTCCCGATAGCTGTTCATTCTTTTGGTAGAGTACCTGAAAATTCCAAGTTCTCGATCAGTCTGGACTTAATTAGAATCATATCTGTCTAAAGAATCAAACTGCAATACACTATTTGTGGCTCCTTGTATTTCTTTTAATAGATATTGGAAAACTCAGGGAAAAAGAAATGTGGAAATAACAGTATCAATGCGGGAAGGAAATGTCACACACTAAAATGGAAGAGAAGGAAACAGGTGGAGATCAAAAGAAAAGGCTCTTTGTTTTCCTTAGAAAACAGCCTCTGAAGAGGAAGAACCTATTAGTCTCTAAGCACAATGTGAAACTAGTAAAAACTTTAATCAGTTCACAAGTGATAGTTTAATCTCTTAAAGAAATTATATACCACAAGTTAAAGAACAACAGACAAGCCTGGAATAAATAGGCACATTCCCAGGCTCAATGTCCTGCTTTGTCTTAATTCATATTGAAACTAGTTTCTCATTAAGCAGTGTGCGCACGCTTCCCCAGAGACCAGATGCAGTCCGGGGCTTTGGGGCTTCCCCACCCTCCGCAAGAAGCTGGCGCTGGCTCCAATCTTGCGGGGGCCTGATGCTGGATTGCCAGCATGGGCTGGGGTCAGGGTGGCTGTGGGGCGAGGTTCAGGGAAATGGGCGAGGCGAGAGTAGGTGGGTGAGTGACCCCGGGGTCTGCAGCCCTGATGGGGGTGGGGTCGACGGTGCCCTCACCTTTCTGCAAGGAACCCAGGCACCCAGGGGCCAATGTGACTTTGGGGTAGAGGGACCCTCCCCCCCCACACACACACGTTTTCCTCTCCCCTCAGCTGCCACCGCCCAGCCCCATAGCTGCAGCTGTCACCCTCACTCATGCCCCAGCACTTACTCGCGTGCCAGACAGAACTCCCCTCATCACCATGCCTCAGCCCAGCTCCAGCCTTCCCCTGGAGCAGCTCTGGCCCCTGGAGCAGCCCCAGCCATGAAGCAGCTACTGGCCATGCAGCCCCACAGGTCAGGCCGCATGGCTACCTCCAAGCCGGAAACGGGCCCCTGGGGCGGCC